AGCTTCTCGTGCTGCCAGGTGAGAATGTTGTGTCTGGTGATCTGGGGTTACTGTGGAAAGTGGTCCATTTCTCACTGAGGCCTGGTGTTGTGGTACTGTCGGGTAATATTGTTGTTTCCACTGACCCTGAACTGATGGGTGAAGTTGTAGATTCTCCAACAAGAGCTGAGACCATAAAGCGGGTGGGTAAGAATGTGGTTTCCATTGCGTCTGGGCTGCTGTGGGATGCTGTTGATTCCTCACTATGGCCTGAGGTTGTGGAGCTGTCAGGGAAGTGTGTTGTTGCAGTTGAGTCCAGGCTGCTGTCGGCGGTAGTAGATTCTTCAACAAGGGTAGTTGTGGTGCTGGGATGTGAAGGTGCTGTGAGAGTTGAGCCTGGTTGGGTTTGGAAGGTGGTAAATTCTCCCTGAAGGCCTGGGCTTGTGGAACTGGCAGGGGACAGCGTTGTGTGTCGTGAGTCAGTGCTGCTGTGGATGGGTGTAGAGGCTTCTGTGGTTTCAGAGGAGCCTGGACTGCTGGGGAAGGTTGTTAAATCTTGATCAAGGGATGAGGCTGTGGTACTGCCAGGGGACAGTGCTATGTCTGTTGAACTTTGGCTGCTGTGGGAAGTTGTAGGTTCCTGACTGAGACTTGACATGGTGGTGCTGTCGGGGAACGCTGTTGTGTGCTTTGAGCCTGGTTGACTAAGGGATGTGCTGGAGTCTTCACTGACGCCTGAGCTTGTTGTGGTTGCAGGTGAGAGTGTTGCATCTGGTGATGTGGGGCTAGTGTAGAAGGTGGTAGATTTCTCACTGAGGCTTGGTGATGTGATAATGCCAGGTAAGGTTATGGTTGTGTCAGTTGAGCTTGGACTCATGGGTGAGGATGTAGATTGTCCAACAAGACCTGAGGTTGTGGAGCGGGCAGGTGACAGTGTTGTTGCACTTGTGCCTGAGGTGTTGGGAAAGGTTGTTGGTTCCTCACCGAGGTCTGTGGTTGTGAGGGTGGCAAGTAACATTGTTTGCGTGGAGACAAGGCTGCCGGGGAGGGCTGTAGATTGCTCAGTGAGTTTCAAGGTGGTGGTGTCCTCAGTGAACAGTGTTGTATGAGTTGAGGCTGGCTGGTTGTGGATGGTTGTGGATTCTTCCCCACGAATTGAGGTCGTGCTGCTGCGAGGGGACACTGTGGTTTCAGTTGAGCCTGGGCTGCTGTAGATGGTGGTAGATTCCTCACTGAGTCCTGGCGTGGTGGTGCTGGCCGGTGACACTGTTGAGTGAGTTGAGCCCGGTTGG